AGCCCCCTCCACCACCTGAATTATATTCATTTGCCTATAAGGCTTTGCAGCCTTTTTGCAAGATGGGTTCAAATGAACCAGAATTACAGGGGGACACAGAAGAAGAGATAAAGCAAAAATAGAACACACCAAACATACAAACAGGGGAGAACAAAGAGGGAAGACACATCCCAGCACAACACAAAGCACCACCAATGTGATCGAACGGCATTGGCCAGCCGAACCAAGCCAAGACACTGCACCATCGACGCAATCGAAAGGCTTCACGCATCCGAGAGTGCACAACGCCACAACACCACCTGTGCCGGGGGTGCATTCGAAAGGTCACGCGAGGCCGAGACGACGCCACAGCGCCTATGTGCCACAGGCGAAGTCAGCATCGCCAAGCAAACAAGACCATGACACTGCACCGTCGACGCAATTGAAAGGCTCCGCGCATCCGAGACTGCATAACGCCGCGACACCACCTGTGCCGTGGTGCACATTCAAAAGGTCACGCGAGGCCGAGACAGCGCCACGGCACCTGTGCGCCACCGCCGCTGTCGCTTGGCATCACCTAGCAGAGAACACACTCAAGAGTGCAGGAGCAAGAACACGAGAAGAACACCCCCGAAGAAGAGCTCAAACCACCATCGACCCCAACCCGGCCGCACCACCACCATCCAACCGCCAACACAAACACCTCAACGCGGCCAAAGGCATGGCCAAGCCAAGATCACGAAGACAGAGCACCACCTCTCCACTGCTAACGCCCACGCGGACCGCCAACGGGACCACCTCAAGCCACTGGTCACCCTAGCCAAGGCAAGCTCAAAGACGAAGCCCCAAGTGGGAGTGTGACGTTGAGCGCCACCATCGCCCGATCCGGGAGACCCAAGATCCAAAGTTTCCTCCGGAGCAATTTAGGAGGGAAGACGAACACCAGCAGCACGACGCCTTCAGCAAGGATACGGCGCCCACAGGCACCACCGTCGTTGGCTCCAACCTAAACTGGAGCCCGGCTTTATGCCGGCAGTGTCACGACCCTCAACCTGCAGCCTGCTAGCCAAACCAACAAACCAGCAAGAGCACTCGCAGCCTAACCACGAAACAGAAGCCGCCGCACCATGCGAAGCCTCCAGATCGGGAGAGCGAGCAAATCTCGATCCAAAAGGCAGCGAGAGCTGCACCTGCATCACGCCGAGTCCGCCGCACACCTCGTGCGTAGAAGCCCAGCGCACTCACCACACCCATCCCGAGGTCCAGCTCACCGGAGAGAGCAGGAATCGGCAGATCCGTCGCAGAAGACAGCACATGCCCAGGCCCGCCACGGCCGTCCAAGCTGAGGCAGATGGCTCCGCCGCAGCTCCACGCTGCCCTCACGGCCGGGGGAACGACCAGCCGCCACGAACGCCGTGAGGCACCGCAGGCAGCGGCCCAACCCGTCGGATTGGGAGGCGAAGCGCATCGCGCGGGCCAAGATGGCCGGAGCACGGGACGCCCATCCCCCGCCGCAAGCACCGCCGCCCTCCCACCACCACGGAGCACGAACGGCGCGCCGCACGAGTCCCCGCTCGCAGCCGGGCCGCTCCGGCGCGCCAGAGCCCCGCCGCTGCCGGATCCGCGCGGGGCTTTGCCTGGCGGAGGCTAACGGGCGGCAGCGAGGAGGGGGGAAGCAGGAGGGGGGGGGGCGCTGTGGTGGCGAGATGCGCCGCCGCCCGAGTCGCCCTGGGGAGGACGACGCGGGGGCCCTCAAGTACGTATCGCTCCTCCCCACTGTCCCTTCAAATTGATTCTATATATCTTTTTCCTCTTTTTCTTCGAATCAAATCCTTTTCTTATCTTAAAGCCCAGAAGATGCTAAAAAACGACCAGGGACCATTTAATATACGCGGCTGCTACAAATCGAAACTACTTCATAAACGATTCGTGCTGCACGATTCAGGCACGATAGTTAATCCACCGGCTGTGTTGCACCTAGTTCTACACATGAATGGCCAGATTTGCAGTATCGTCCAGCAATCGTCCAACAGTATCATCCTCTTTTTTTCCTTTTTATCAATGGGTTTAAGATTCATTAGCTTTCTCATTCTACTCTTTCACAAAGGAATGCGAAGAGAACTTAGCAGCACTCGCTACAAATCACTTGCCTGATGCCAAGGGAAGATTAACTGCCTCGTCGGTCGTACGATCCACGACTGAGGAACGACTCTGATATGAGGCCAATTCCAACGGACGATCCCAAAAGGATGTCCTTTTCGTCCGCCTTTTGTCCGTTTGGGGTGGTAATAGGATCGTGTCCGTCCAAATTTATGGATGTGCGAGTCGTGCAGCCGTATTTCGGTCGCATCTCGTCCGCTGTGCATGCAAAATATGAAAAGAACAAAGGGTGATGCTAAATGGCCATAGTTCACGCAAGTGGCCGCGTTCTCGCCAGTTCATGCCGACCGGCAACAAAACCAGCGGCCTATAGAATGGTCACCCTAGTTTCACACTGGTAACAAAGCCAACGGCCAGCACACAAGTCAGCCTTCAAAATGGACAAGTTTTTTAGGGCGGCAACAAAGCGAGTGGCCAGCCAGCCTTCAAAATGACAAGTTTTTGGCGTCCGCAACAAAGTCAACGGCGGGCACAGTAGCCAACCTTCAAAATGGAAGTCATCATGGTCGTGATCTCACCCTAGTTCAGGCTGTCGCGAGCGAACATCTCCTTCTGTCGGTTCGCAAACCAAGCCTTTCTCCCCAGTGACATGTTGTTCTTGTCGACGCTCATGAACGCGAGTGCCACCTCTTTGGCTTTGGTCTCGGCATTGGTGGTCTCGATTTCGAGCTTCTTGAGTTGAGCGGCCTGCTCGATGTCAAGCTTCCTCCTCTTAATGACCTCCTCCATGTCAAGCTTCTTCGTTTGAATATTTAGGTATATTTTCATTTTCTCCTCCTTCCCTTTGCTCCTTCTCTCCTCCCGCACTTTCTTTTGGCTCATCATGTTCTCCAAAGTTCATTGCAAGGCTATAGAAGACGCATCACGCTTCTCATCGGCATTAGCGCTTGTCTTGCCCCTCGGCATCTTGAGCAAGTCTCCCTCATCAGCCATGACCACATTCCCTCCTTTCTTCTTACGAGCGGCATATTGGTCTTTGAAATTGGGGCAATCTTTGATGAGCACCCAACAATGCGTGAGAGTAAACGATTGTCCTTATGCCGGGCCTTGAAAGCCTCCAAAGATTGGAATGCCTACACAATCAAAGATGCGGCCACAATTTGAAACGACACAAAATGCATCAAACATAAATGGCATGCGACATGAATGGACATAAATGGCATACAAAGTCACCAAGGCCTAGGCCGCTCAAGGGACGGGCTTGAACGCTCTCAAGCGCGGCACAATACTTGTTGCACTCTTGTTAAATGAACCCCCATCTCTTTTGGATTGAGTTGATGCCGCATGTGCTCGCAAATTGGTAGGGGGCAAACTTCCCTCACTCCTGAATGTTCTTATGAACACTTTTCCAAAAGACAGATCCTTTTTCCACAACACCTTTCATGGGATCATGGCCTATCTCCATCCAACTCTCGTAAATCAAAGTGTCCTCATCTTGAGTGTACGATCCCGTGCGAATGCTTTGACTCCTCTTTTGTGCCTCGGCGTGCGAGGCCGCCGTGGTGGGCGTCAAGCTCGCTGAACGGGCCCATCAGGTGGCCGTGGTGTTGGTGCCCGTGACGCGCACCGACACCATCCACCTCCTAGCTGTGGCACCGTAGATGGAGCACCTGAGCGCACCCATTCTAGCCGGCCGCCACGAGTGCAGCCAACGCTGGGCCGCTGCTCCGGTCCGTGGGGACGCGTCGTGAATGCGAGGTATGCTTCTCCTTCAACGTGGTCTGATGTGCGCTACCGTTTGTAGCCAAGCACGTGGGGTGTCTGATAAAATGCCTCAAAGAGAAGGGAAAGCAGTGAAGATAGGAAGAAGACGATGAGGTGGACTGCCATATTTTCTTTTGGGTGAAAACGACGCCGCATCATCGGTGGTTTCAAGTCAAATCTGGTTTTGGACCAACTTTGTCCGGTTTCGAAAGATGAGGGATCAAATATATGCAATTATTTCTTGAGGGATCAAATGTAAACTAAATCACAACTTGAGGGA